CTACCATGTGGGTTCTCGTAGTAGACTGAGTCTTCAGCTTGATGGCACACTCCTTTCCCACATCTCATTGGCCCAAATTTTTGTTTTTTTTAAAGCAAGGTTTGGCTGTGTGCTAGTGTTTGGGGGGGGGATGTTTTTTCAGTTTTTTGTTTGTTTGTTTTGATGCAGTGTAAAGAATGAATTTGAAAGAGCGTGGGCAGGTGGGAGAGGAACAGTTTACAAGGCTTTTGCACCATCTCGGATTAGAGTAGGTTTTTAAGATTGGGCTTGGGAGTGGGAGTGGCTTAATTGAGAGAGATTTACAAGGAGTGGAGTGAAAAGCCTGGGAAGAGGACTCCTAGTTACCTAATGCACTCTTCTTGCCCTTCCCCTGCCTGGTCACCTCTCATCTAGATCACTATGAGAGTGTTGTCCCAGGAGGGTTTCTTGTAAGACTACAGAGTTGTCCAACTGTAAGTCCCTCTTCTTGGGCTTTTATAAGCAAACGGTGCAAAATCCCAGACCTTTTTTTCCCCTCCCTTTTAACGATAACCAACTGAGTTATAAAGGGGCACTAAAATTTGTTAGTCATAAACTAAAATTAGCTCTTAACTGGAGTTCACAGAAGACTCTAATTTGGTTTTCTACTAAGAAGTCTGGCTGCCAGGCAATGTTTGGCAACGCTGCAAAGCCCCTGCACATAACACACACAGTGAGTTGGCATGCTCACCATTTTTAGGAAGGGCACTTTGTTATTGGAGCATTTTCCAGTGATGTTTGGAGCTGGTCATGGTTTATGGTGCCTGGCATTCATGCATTTTAATTACAAATTATGATTCATGGAGTGCCATCATGACCGATTTAATATGGTGTGAGTTATTTGATTAACTCTGGAGGGGGGGAGTAAAGGCAAGACAGGCCAGAGGCACCTCCCTGACCTTATTTCCTACTAACTGTCTCCCTTCCTTAGCAGAACACAAGGAGTGGGCTGCAGCCTCAGGAGCTTACACTTGCTATGCCATCCTTCCTAAGGCTCTCTCTTTCCCCTCCCCCCACCCTCTACAACTTCCTGCATTTTCTGAAAGCTTTTGCTCTGTTCTCACCTCTGTGAGGCTCTGAGTTCCTAATTTAAATTATAATCTTCTGGCCCCCTAAATGTCAGACTACATCACCCTAGTTTGTCTTTCTTCTTGGCACTTACTATCACCTAATATATCATGTATTTTACCTACTTACTTATTTATTGACAATTTACCTCCGTGTAGAAGATAGATCCACAAGAGCAGGGATGTAAATTGTGTCATTTCTTTCTGTGTCACCAATACCTAGGACAGCACCTGGCACAGAGTAGACAGTCCATCTGTAGTTGCTGCATAAGATGGAGTGGCTACCTCATGAGGATTTGGTAACTTCTTAGTCTCCTAAGCCACAGATGTACATAGTTCAAGTCCAAACCATTCATAGCCCTGCTGCAAGAGGAGCCACACAGAGAAACCCAGAAGCACAGGTTTATACACACCTCTCCTTTTTGGCAGGCCCTACTAAGCCCCTTGCCATGACTCCCGTCCCAGGCGTATTCCTTCTTCCTACCCATCAAACACACTCCGATGAAAATTCCCAAAGATGAGCTCATCCATTCAGATTAATACTCAACCAATTCCTTTTCAGAATTAAATATATGCAAGGTTTTACCCAAGTTACAGAGATCAAAAATGAACAAGACTCTAGATTTGATCCTTGCTACAACTAAGTTTATGCAGTGGTAAACATGTCATCCTGTTCTGCCTCCGGAAAGTGGGCCTAGTTCTTTATAGGGAATACGAATGCCATACTGAAACTCAACAGATACACAACAAAGAAAAAGGAAATTTAGGGCAGGGTAAGGTGAAGCAGATGGAGGTAGACAGGAAAGGCCACAGAGCAGGAGCACTTCTAGGGCCTAGAGCAGAGAGATACTGTGGCTATCACTCTAGTGGGAGAGAGCAGGTCAGTGTGCTGGTGGGAGAGCTTTCATAAAGTTAATGGTAAGGTCTAAATTGGACTGGGTAGTGTTGACAGCCCATTCAGGGATGTCTGTGCCCTATGAACCCAGTTAGACCTTTAAAGACTTTGAGGGCACGAGAAAATATTACAAAGCATGGCTGGGGAGGTGATTTAGCCATTAAGAGCATGCACCACTCTTACAGAAGACCTGAGTTTGATTCCTAGAGTCCACTTTGGGTGGCTAACAACCATCTATAATTCTAGTTCTAGGAGTATCTGATGCCTCTGGTCTCAGCAGCACCTCCCCCTCCCTCTCCCTCTCCCCTTCCCTCTCCCCCTCCCTCTCCCTCTCCCCCTCCCTCTCCCTCTCCCCCTCCCTCTCCCCCTCCCGTTCCCCCCGTCTCTCTCTCTGTCTCTGTCTCTCTCTCTCTGACACACACACACACACAGAGGAGAGAGACCTTCAAATCACTGAAAGACCTGTTCAGTGGTGTGACAAGCTTCTCTCTGTCCTCTAACTGTCCCAATCCTGACCTTTCCTTACCAGGATGAGCTCCCAAATCCTACTGTCCTCCCCTCTGAGACCTCTTTACTGCCCCCACCTGCATGCCTTTTTCTCCTTTAGCCCCAGGAATAAATAAGGCCTTCATCCTTCTCCTCTCTGTTATACTGGGAGACAGAGACAATGTCTCAAGCGTGTCCCACTTGTCTCATACTTTAGAGCTTAGTATTGATCTAAGTTGGATTTCAGTGAGACAAGACCATGATATGCACAATGTAGCCTTTCCTTACTACACACTAGTATTTATACTGTATTAAAATACCCGTTCCCCCCCCCCCCAGCAGACAGTGCTGAGGTGTACAGGGCCCATTTGTTTTCTCTCCCCCCTCTCTGTTGTCACCTCTTTCTGCTTTCAATGTAACTAGTCACTGATGTTTCCCCTAAGGAGACTGGAGAAACTCATTCTGTTCAAACTACAAACTGATAGAAAAAAAAAATCATCTGTGGTAAGAGAAAGCAGACCAGTGCTTATGGGGTAGGAGACAGGGAGAACTCAACTGGACTAAGGCACAGAGAATTTCCTGTAATTGAGGACATATTCCATGTTTTGACTGTGTCTGTAAAACAACTCTATCAAACCTGAAGCATACAAAAGAATCTGTTTTATTATATATAACAAGCTTGACCTTGGTAATGTCAAGTTAAAACAAACTGCCTATAAATTAAGGGTCAGCTGCCTTAAGCACAGAACAAAAGTTTCAAATCACAATTCCACCTCGACATAAAACCAGGGCATGACCAATACGAGGAGACACAGCCTCTCAATGACTGCAGTGCTCTCAGACTGATTGGTTCTTCAGCTGTAGATGACTCATGTAAAAGAAGCAGAGGGCACAAGGCTGATATACAAGAATCTCTACCAAAATATGTGACACCTTAAATATCATGCACACAGATTTACTCTCCAAACCTCAATATACCTAGGCTTAAGTGTAGAAAAAAAGTAGAAGCTCTGCTAGAAGATGGAAAAGCAATTTCTGCAGGACAGAGAAATTCTTTTATATCCCAGAATGCTCCTTGAGAACCTGAGACTAGCTTATCATGCAATGGTGATGCTGGGAGTAATTCAAGTCTCCCGTGAGAAGAGGTGACATCTTGCCAGGTGACAGAGACATAACCTTCACATGGCTAAGTGAATGAGAGTCTTATAAGGAGGAAATTTGTGTTTGAGGGCAGGGAACATGGTTAGAAAAAAAGTCTTTCTCTTCTTCCTCTCTGTTTGACTTCTTGCTCTAAACTCCTGCACATAACCTGTTCTAGTCTGTGTCTCCTGTGCAGTTCTCGTGTCCCCTCTCTGAGTTCTCACTTAGCCTCTTGGCCTCTTGGCCACACTTAGCTCAGCACTGACCATGCAGCAGTGCTGAACACAAAAATCCATTGGGATAAGAATGAGAGGGCAACGAGGAAGGGACTCACTCAATGGAGTGTTGGGGGTTAAGAGGGTAAACTAGACAAGATGGGTCTGTGAAGACATGGAAATAGTAAGAAAATACAGATTCGGGTAAAAGTAAAGTGACAGTGAGTTCAGGAAAATTTGGGACAGGAGGACAGGATTTGTGAGAGAGAACAGGAGAATCAGGTCAGTGGGAACACAAGCCAGGAGTAACAAGAGAGAGGTTGGAGGTCAACAGGAAATAATTGGCGGTTAAGGTCAGAGGTCATCAGAAGACAGCAGGCCACAGTCAGACATTACCTGCTTACGAATCTGTTTCGAGGGCATTGCTGCAAAAATAGAAAGCACCTCAAACCCTGAAAAACCTACAAAACGCCTCCTCTGCTAGGGAGAAGTTTCTCCTTCTTGACCACACACAGGAAGTGCAGACTCTCTTCCACTTCAATTCCCAGTCACCAGGGTTCTTCAGGGACAGTTGACGGTTGTGGGTCCTCGCGCCCTTGTAGAACAGCATCAGCTCCTCCCTGACGCGGTTACCCAGCAACCGACAGGCACCGAGCGCGCAGGCGCACCGAGCGCCCCCCTCCGGGCACGGGGAGGAGGCGGAGCTTGGGCGCGCAGAGAGCCTCTAGCTCCGCTAAGCCCCGCCTCCACAGCGAAAGATAAGTCCGCCCGCCGTGCAAGGAGCTCCCGCAAGTGGGAAAGGCTGGGGCACCCGGACACCGCCTTCTCATGAATAATGCAGAATCCGGGCGGTGTCCCGGACCCGGAAGTGGAGTTGCAGAGTCACCGCAGTGGCTGAGCTGCTGACAGGAGGCGGCGGCGGAGGAGGAGGCGAGGCAAGACCTGCGGCTCCGCGGGGCTACTGCCGCGGTAGCTCTAGGCAACCCCACGGAGCTACACCGGTCTCAGTCATCCCGCGAGCCTCTCGCCGCCTGTCCATCCTTCCATCAGCCTATCCGCCCGACTGGTCCAGGGCGGCCTAGTCTGCATCATCTGCCGGGCTTCTGGGGCCGCCGCCCCGCGCGGTCCCATCGGCGTCCCTGGCCGCGCCCGGCCCCTGGCCCGCTCGCTCGCCGGCACCATGATGGAGGAGATCGACCGGTTCCAGGTGCCCACCGCGCACTCGGAGATGCAGCCGCTGGTGAGGGGACGGGCGGCGGGCAGGCCAGGACCGGGAGGGGCGCCGCTGGAGGGGAGGGAAGGAAGTAGGCCGTGGGGATTGTGCGAGGGGGCGCCATCTGATAAGGTAGAGGGAGTCCTGAAAACGCTTTGCTGGGGGAGGGAGATTTGCAGAGCGAGAAAACCGTGGGAGATTACCAGCAGTGCGAGCGAAGGACCTGGAAGGGCGGAGGGCACGGTCAGCAGATGCAGAACGCCGTCGGATAGGACCAAGGACTATAGTGCACACCGCTAGTGGAGGCCAATTTAGGAGGATGTCACAGAGCATCTTTGGCAGCAGGCCCAGGGGTCGGATGAGAAAGGCGTTTAGCTCCCGAGGCCTGTGATGCTCAGGGCGAGGGAGGAGGCCAGCAGATCAGTCTAAAGGAGGAAAGGAAATAGGCCTTTAGAAAAGGAGAGGCCTGCCCGCGGGTCCTTTAGATAAAGATAGCAAAGCTGAGCAGGAACCTGGCATTGATGGGGGCAGAGGTTCCGTGCAGGACCTGGGAATTCCCTTCCTCTCGAGAGAGGAGCCCCATTTCGATCTGAGGGCATCGAAATCGGGAAGGGGAAGAGTGTGCGGTGGCGAGATGTAGAATCAAGGGTGTCCATGAGAAGGTGTCTCCAGGATAAAAGGTGGAGCTCTTCTGGAGTGGGCTGTGCCGACCGGTTCGGAATTCGGAAGAGCCCCTGTCATCTTCGGCCTACGTGCTTGGAGTCTTTGCTGGGCGGGGATCCTGCCTCCGGTCCGTGGTCCTGGAGTCAGGCAGGAATGATGTCATCGATGCCGGCGCCAAGGGGATGGAAGGGGGAGGGTGATGCCAGTTTATGGAGGCATGGCCTAAAGAAGAAGGTGCCTGCTGGTCATTGCCCTGAGGCTACCTGTCGCTGCTATTAGCATATGGGTAGGAAAGTCAGAGGCCTAGCCAGCTGGTCTAGAGAAGGAAGAAGGAAAGAATGTAGAGGCCATGTTCATTCGCTTATCCCACCTTGGGGCCTGTGCTAGTAAGAGCTAAAACGAGGCGCGATAGGCCAGGAACCAATAGGTAATGGATGCCTTCCTCTCTGCTGGAGCTGACCTGTGCTCTCCAACTCCTGAAGCTTGAGGGCTCCCTAAGTCTCTTCCCTCTGTGTTAGTCAGCTCCTAAATTGACAGGTATGCTTTGTGGTTTCATAGATAGGAACTTGCCTATTACAATAGCCAAGGTGGACCACAGTGGAAAGGTGGGAAGTATGGCAATCTCCGTGCCAAGTGGTTTGCTGGATAATCAGTTGACATTGCTAGAGATAGGTGTCTTCTACGCTTTGTGAAGCTGAAGCAGATGGGCTTTGTAGACATGTACAATATTAAACTGAGAGATGCTACAGGGCTTTTTCCTACCTTGATGCCACTACTGAATTCTTCGGGAACCAGAAAAATCTCCAGGGAAAAGTTTGTTCTGTGAATGTAAAGGAGGACTTGGGCTGAGTTAGAACTTTGTTTAGTAGGTTCCTTATTCAGCTAATCTTGTTTTCAAACGAGGACGCCCTTCCAGTTCTAAGCTGCTCGTGTGTGGATGGGTGGAAGAAAGGGGTGGAGATTCTAGTAAGTCCAGGAGAGGAGGTAGCTCTTGTTTCTTATCTGAGATCCCCAAGATAATAGTTGTCCAAGGAAAGAGAAGAAAGAATAAAGCCATTAGGATTGCACAGTTGTTTTTGGTGAATCTGTTATTTCCTGGTATTCTTTCTTAATCATGGGTAGAAAGCTGTTTTGGTTTGTGTGGCTCTGAAGTAGAGAAGTCTGTGGTGAGAAGGTGCTTATTAGAGTATCTGTAGCTGCCCACGCCCTTTCTTAAAGGCTAGAGCAGTCTGCAAGAGAATGCTGTGCAGAGGCCAAAGGAATCTTAAAGAAATAACAATATAGTCTCACACTTGGGGGTCAAAGACAGTACCCTGGTTTTGACTCTGTTCCTATATTGGCGCCTAGAGATACCCCAGCCCCCAACCCCAGACTCCTTAAGTGCCCTTTATTCTGTTGAGAACAGCAGAATCTTGTGTAGCATTTCCCCAAGGACATTCATTCGGGTCATAAGGAATCAAGATGCACACTACAGAGGTAGAAGGCAGAATAGCTCTGTAGGGGTGTTTGGGGAAAGGCCGTCAAAACTAGGATCCCAGGCTCAGATTCACCTGTGATCTCTTCCACTTTTTGCTATTATTTATGGAGACCTGTAGGAAGTCTCTCTCCTCCTTGAACTGAGATGAACTATTCATTCAGCGTTTAAACAATAGTTCCTCATACTCCCTTCCAAAGAATATTATGAAGCCCGATATACTGACTCAGAACATTGATTTACCAAACACTGAACATCTATTCTTTCCAGACACTACACAAGATATCATGACACAGTGGTTAGCAACATAAGTTCAGATGGGGCCCTGCCCTGATGGAGCACACAGCTCAGTAAAAGTTTATTTCTCTTGCTCACTCTATGAGTAAGGAAGCTGAGAACAGAATAGAGTCAGCCTCCTTAGACCCCAAGAAAAAATAAGGCAGCTCCTGTATTGGCCCCATTACTCCTTTCAGGACCTGGGTGTGTGGACAGAGACCTGTGTCTTGGGCCCCATCATCAAATAACCCTCCTCACCCATGGTAGTAAGAGAATGCAGAGGCTATTCCTCTCTTGGAAAGATGAGCTGTAGGAGAAGCATCTTTTTCTTTATTTTTACTTGAAAGAGAAACTTGTCTTGAAAAGGAGGCTTAGGGGAGTGGCAGCCGCTGAGAGAGAAGGTGCAGCCAGTAGATCTGGGTGTTTCCAAGGTGCTAATTTAACCATTAGCTCTCAGCTAGTGGGAGGCAGAGGAAGAAATCCCTGCCCTATTGTTGCTGCTGCTATTACCACTGCTGCCTAGAGCCTCTTGTCTGGGGTAGGAGTTTGTCTGAAAGAAGTGGCTTCTCTTCTTTCCCCATCATGGCAATTATTTAATTGGCCTGGCTGTATCTCAGCAGCTGAACCAGGTCCCAGCCTATCTCTGAGCTCCCCAGGGTCTCTTCTTGTCTCCTTAGGAAAGAAAGAACAACTCCTCTTGTGACCTATTCCCTGGGTTCTGCTCCTGCTCTGTCTTCCAGAAACATTGGAATGGCCAATTTTGTGTGCTACCTATGCCACATACCTTACGGGTCCAGGGAAACTCCTTGATGCCCAGGCTCTGCTGAGCAATTGAGTAATATTTGGGCTGTTGTTGGTATGAGTGGCAGGCACAGGCCCTGTGGCCTGTTGTCTGTTCAACTGGTTGGTGTAGCCATACCGTCTACGTCTCTGAAGAGATTTGTTGCAAGAAAAACAAATAGAGCTTCTGAGTACTTAATTTCCTCAAGCAAACCCTGCCTCCTATTCAGACAGAGGCATAAGACACTTACAGAATGGCATATGGCAACAGACGTGGTCCCTGCATGCTTGAGAGAATGCTAGTCTAGTCTCACTGAAACCAGATTACCCATTTACTCATTTGCTTAGTTCATGAGTTAGTACATGTCTGCTCCATTCCTGGTACTGTAAGGATACAGAGACAAGTAAGGGCTCTGCTTGTAGATCTCCAGAGGATGAACTTGAATGGAAGTTCAAGTGACAGGAAGATATATGTCATAACTTCCTAAAATATTGGCATGGATATATGTCAGAATGAACAGCAATGCATGGTGATCCTGAGAGACTGAAGGAAGGCTGTCATCCTGACCTCTGACTGGAGCTGGATGAGGAATTTAAGACTTCTGTTGTCTGTTGGCTGTAAGGGCTGGGGGCTGCCAGGGTGTTAACTCAATGACTGGGCCACAGGAGCTCCAGAAAGAAGAAGAGAGCATTACAAAGATAGCAAGTCAGGACTCTGGAAGACAATATATGTATGCTCCAGTCTAAGTGGCTTTAAGTTGTTCCTTGAGATCAGATGGTTCTTCAGTTTAAGGGTGAATCCTGGGGAGAAGTCATCTCTATATCTTCCTCCTTGGAAAACTAGAGTTGGGTTTGCCAGGGCCTTAGACTTTACCTACACAGCTCCTTCTAAAAAAAACAAAAAACAAAAAACAAAAACAAAAAAAACAAAAAAAACACCAAGAAAGAACCTAGATGGTGTGTTGGGATCAATAACAGACTCTCACTGTAGAAGTATGCCCAGAGCAGGGTTGACTGAGGCACCATGGGATAATGAGTACCACAGGAGATCCAAGAAGGGCCCAGTGCCTGCAAAGATAGGCTCTGGTCCAGTGGAAAGGGAGGGCTTGCCTGTCTGAGTCAACACTGCTCACCAGCTCTGAGAAGAGGATCGGGAGCACCAGTCTGACATGCTGCAGAAAAGGCACGAATCCCAGGCAGTGGGTGTGAGGAAGAAACAAGAGGACATTTGGGATGAGTTAGAGGCTGTAATTATGGGAAACACATTTGAGCTCAGGTTTCCACTCTAGTGGTGAATAATGTTGGAGAAGGTGAGAGTGGAGGCTGAGAAGGCAGAAGAGAGATGTCTGAGAGATGACGAGGCCTGAGCTAAAGCAGATGTGGAGAGGAGAAGGAGACAGACACGAGGAAAGTGGGGTGGCAGACACGAGTAAGGCCTCTTCAGAGGTGTTGTGGAGAGCTAGGAAATCAGATGACGATGACCCCAAGGTTTCTGATATGGATTTGGACAGAGGAAGAGACTGTCACCAGCCATCTCAGGAGATGTGAAGCTGTACACTTGGCACAACTTCTCAGATTTTGGGGGAACTCAGAAGTTCTGAAAAACCAAGCATTAGGATGACAGTGACCCCCTCAGCCTCAAAGGATCGCTGAGATATGTGCTTCTCTGAATTTTTTCCCTTGTAGCCTGACTCACTGAGTAGAAGAGAATTTGTGACAACAAGAAAGCAGAATGGGTTTTTTCTTTTTTAATTCTTTTCTAGTCAGAGTCTCGTGTAAACCAGGCTGGCCTCAAACGCAATTAAGTAGTTAAAGGTGATCTTGAACTCCTGAT